TGTAGGTTTTTGAGGTCCTGTTTTCTCTTTGGTTTTTGTGTGTTCGTTTTCATTTATTCAGTTAACCAATATACACTGAGAAACTATCATATGCCAGGCATTTTTCTAGGTGCTTGGGATACATCAGAACAAAGATTTCTTCCTTTGTGGAACTCATAGTCTTTGTTCTCTGCATTTAATGGCCTCCCTCAAGGGGTGCCTGGGTGGCTCCGTCCATTCAGCATCCGACTCTTGGTTTCAGCTCAGATCATGATCTCAAGGTGATGAGATTGAGCCCCATTCTATCCTTCTGGCCCTACCCCCACTTGAACACACTTTCTTTAAAACAAAAAAAAATCATAAATAAATAAATGCCTCCCTCAAATGTCTGGTGAAATCTTGATTTATTTTTTTTAGATAAAACTTAAATGAAATAAAATAAATATGTAGTTACATAGTTTATATATACAGCCATGTGAGCAACATTCAGATCAAGATATAAAACATTTCCTTCACTCAAAAGACTTCCCAGTGCCCATCCACCCCCAATTAATTATCTCCCCCCTCTCCACGGATAGTCACCATAGATTAGTTTTGCCTATTCTGATTTCATACACAGTATGCAATCTTTCGTACCTGGCTTCTTTTATTCAACATAACATCTCTAAGATTCATCCATGTTGTGTATTATCAGTAACTAATTTTTTTAAAAAATTCTTGGGTTAGGTTTCAATGTATGTAAATGCCACGATTTATTTTTTCGTTCTATTACTGATGGATATGTGCGTTAGCTTCGGTTTTCTATTATGTCCACTTATTTTTTAGAGTGAAATACAAAAATGCTTCTGGAAGCTCTATGCAAGTGGGACTTAAACACTGAACGGCTCTGCAGTATAAGGTGATTGGACTGGCCTGCTGAAAATGTCAGTTGGGTTCTCCAAATATCACACTATTCACAGCTTTTTTCTTGAGTTGTTAAGTTTCTCTAAAGGACCATCTAAAATGTATAAGCCAAGCAGCTGGTATTCGGAACTTCAAGTTTTACCATTCCAGTAGAGAATTTCATTCTGACCATTTGTTTATTCTGAGTTTCACCTTTACTCTCTAGGGCTCTTTATTCCCCCCCCCCCCCCCCCCAGAAACAAGCTCCTCTGGCAGACGTGAGTGGAGGGGTGATGAACACAATCTCATTTTCAGGCTGTTCCATCTGATCTCAGATTTTTGCAGTGTCCTCCATTTCTCAGTTGTCCAGAGATTCTGGGGGCAAACTGGCAAAATTCTCTTACCAATTCTCCCTCTGCGAGCACTTAGATTTGATCTTCCTCCCATCTGCTAATTCATTGCTGTTTCCTCCATACACATTCCTTCTTCATATGCTATGGTCTGAGCAACAAACCTCCTGGTTTCATCATCAGATGACTGTGTTTCTCTCATTTTTACTATTCTGGGATAAATGCTACCCAAGGAAAAAAATGGATTCAACAGATTTCCCCTTCCTTTCCCCTCCTTTGTTGAAGTTGATGGCTCCTCATTGCCAATTCTAAAAAATATAAAGTTCTTAAGAGCTGACCTTACCTCTCTTCAAGTTCACCTACAACAAATCTTTTTAGATAAGACCTATATGTATAACCTTACCTGATGCTCCTCAGAAGGCCAAGCTCTCTCCCAACCATATGCCTTGCAAAATTCTCTTTACATTGCCAGGAATCTTCCTGTTTTGCCTAAAATACTCAAAACTGCCGAAATGTCACCTATTCCACAAAGACTGTCATGACTTCTTCCCAAAATTTGCCACATATACATTTATATAGCATTAACTGCCTTGCATGATCATTGTTTACATGATCATTCTCATTAGAATATGGGTTTCTTGAAGACAATGTTTATCCTAGGAGTGTTTTCTTTCATCAAACCAAATAGTAATAATGCTTATAGAATGCTTACTATGTAAATTATGTGCAAAGTACTAGCCTAAGGACTTTATCACATTTACTTCACGTAATAACCCTATGATGTAGGTATTATCATTGTTCCCATGTTAGAATAGCAACTTGAGAGGTTAATAATATTAACTAATGATAATTAATAGATGATCTGGCTCTGAGACTATTTCTTTTCTGACTTTTGAACTGAGCAGATACCTAACATGTATTTGCTGAATGGATGTATATGAAGAAGAAAAAAACATAGCCTTCAACAGAAGTCAAACAAATTCAGTCTTAGAGATAGCTGTATTTTGAAAAAAAAAAAAAAAGTTGGGATTTTACCGACTTTGTTCTTCATGCAGCCCAAGTCATAATGACCCAGAGAAGAAAGTCTAGGTTAAGATTTCTGTTGTCTACTGTTACAGACTGAATGGGTCCTCTCAAAATCCATAATTGAAGCCCTAACACCCTGTGTGTGTGGCTCTATTTGGAGATGGAGCCTCTAAGCGAGTAATTAAGAGTAAATGAGGTCATATGCGTAGGACCATGATCCAATAGGATTAATGTCCTTATAAGAGATATCAGCACCACTCCCCTACACAAAGGAAGAGACCTCATCAGAAACTGAATTTGTTAACATTTTAGCCATGGACTTTAAGCCTCCAGAAATGTGAGAACTTACATTTTTGAAGCCATCCAGTCTAATATTTTGTTATAGCAACTCAAGCAGACTAATACAGTTTCCAATGGCTAAAATTTAGAGAACAGATTTTCCTTCACTTCAGAAACCAGCTGCTTTAACAGTATTCTCTCTCTCTCAGAACTGGATTTGACCTCCTTGTGCTATACTTTTTTTGTTGAAAGCAAATTTTAAGGCTCCATCCAATCTCCAGTCCTTTTACCATAAGGAGGCCAACATTTGATTTTGGTTTTTCTTTTTTTTCTCATTAAACTTTTGTTTTAATGGGTCTTAAAATTCTGTGACAGATTTCCGGTCAAGTTGTTTCCATTAAAAAGTACTGATTTTAAAAACTAAGAACTTAAAACTGCCACACGCACACACACACACACAAACCAAATGGTCCACAAAACATTCTCCTTTCCTTCTGAAGGTTTTACGATGCATTGTTATCATTAACCGGTCTTTTACTATTAAACTTAAATGGCCAATTGACACAAACAGTCCTGAGACCGTTCTTCCACCACTGATTAAGACTGGGGTGGCAGGTATTGGGGATAATATTCATTTAGCCTTCTGAGCTTTCTGGGTAGACTTGGTGACTTTGCCAGCTCCAGCTGCCTTCTTGTCCACTGCTTTGATGATACTCACAGCAACTGTCTGTCTCATGTCACTAACAGCAAAACAGCCCAGAGGAGGATAGTCAGAGAAGCTCTCAACACACATAGGTTTGCCAGGAACCATATCAACAATGGCAGCATCCCCAGATTTCAAGAACTTGGGACCATCTTCCAGCTTTTTTCCAGAACGACAATCTATCTTCTCCTTCAGCTCAGCAAACTTGCAAGCAATGTGAGCTGTGTGACAATCCAGCACAGGTGCATATCCAGCACTGATTTGGCCTGGATGGTTCAGGATAATCCCCTGAGCTGTGAAGCCAGCTGCTTCCATTGGTGGGTCATTTTTTGCTGTCACCAGCCATGTTGCCATGACGAACATCTTTGACAGATACATTCTTGACATTGAAGCCCACATTGTCCCCAGGAAGAGCCTCACTCAAAGCTTCATGGTGCATTTCAACAGACTTTACTTCAGTTGTAACATTGACTGGAGCAAAGGTAACCACCATGCCAGGCTTAAGAACACCAGTCTCCACTCAGCCCACTGGGACAGGACCAGTACCACCAATTTTGTAGATGTCCTGGAGGGGCAGACACAAGGACTTATCAGTTGGACGAGTTGGTGGCCGGATGCAATCCAGAGCTTCAAGCAGTGTGGTTCCACTGACATTCCCATCTTTACAGGTGACTTTCCAACCCTTGAACCAAGGCATGTTAGCACTTGGCTCCAGCATGTTGTCACCATTCCAACCAGAAATTGGCACAAATGCTACTGCATCAGGGTTGTAGCCAATTTTCTTAATGTAGGTGTTGACTTCCTTAACGATTTCCTTGTATCTCTTCTGGCTGTAGGGTGGTTCAGTGGAATCCATTCTGTTAACACCAATAATTAGTTGTTTTACCCCCAGTGTGTAAGCCAGAAGGGCATGCTCATGGGTCTGCCCATTCTTGGAGATACCTGCTTCAAACTCACCAACACCACCAGCAACAATCAGGACAGCACAGTCAGCTGGAGATGTGCCTGGAATCATGTTTTTGATAAAGTCTGGGTCCTGGAGCATCAGTGATGGTCACATAATACTTGTTGGTCTCGAATTTCCACAGGGAAATATCAATGGTGATACCACATTCACATTCAGCTTTCAGTTTATCTAAGACCCAGGCATACTTGAAGGAGCCTTTTCCCAACTCAGCAGCCTCCTTCTCAAATTTTCGATAGTTCTTTTGTCGATCCCACCACATTTGTAGATCAGATGACCAGTAGTGGTAGACTTGCCCGAATCTATGTGTCCAATGACAATGATGTTGATGTGTCTTTTCCTTTCCCATTTTGGTTTAGGTTTAGTGGTGGTTTTCACGACACCTGTGTTATGGCAGCAAGCCCGTTGCAAAAAATCTGATTTTGGTTTTTCTTCAACATTGCCTGCAACTATAGACTTTCTTACTTTTCATTATCTTAGTTAGCAATTCTTGGCTTATGCAGGAATTCAATTTCTCTTCCTAAAAATTTATACTTGGGGAACCTGGCTGGCTCAGATGGAGATGCATGTGACTCTTGATCTTGGGGTTGAGTCCAAGTCCCACATTGAGTGTGGAGATTACTAATATAATATATATGTATATATATATGTATATATACACACACACACACTTACCCAATACTTTTACTGCTATCAGGCCATGCTTATCCTAGTTAATAATGCTAATATACTGCCCTCCCCAGTAGTATTTCACTTGGAACTCTGCTCTGTGGAGTAAAACTGGGCTCTCGGGGATTTCAAGTTTCATTTGTCTGGGAACTTTAAAATAAAACTTTTATTTTAATTATAAAAATTTCCAAATAGGCACAAGAGTAGAAGGATGGATACATCACACAGATCCAACATTATTAAAATCTTTGTTACATTTACTTAATCTATTCCTTTTCTCTCTTTGCTAACATATTTCAGAGCAAATCCAAGACATCAAGTCATTAAATTCTATGTATTTCAATATGTAGCTCTTAAAAAAAGAAGACATTTTCTTATACAAGGACAATGTAATTAATCGAGGAGAATAATTGTTCTATTTACAGGCTACTGAAATGAAACAATTCAGACAGAATTTTATACTCTAAAAAACATAGAATTATTAGAATTACATTAGTATTAGTATTAGAATAACAATATTCTGTAGCTTCAAAACAATTTTAAAGGGAAATTTTAATAATGTTCTGAAATGCAGGATGCTTACCTACCATTCAACTAAAGCAGACTTCAAGACTAAAAAATACACAATATCAAGACTTCAGTCTTTGTACGTTATTTTAAATAAAAGCACTGCTATTACAAATACACACATCTCAAATTGTAACGTTAAAATACAGAGTGCGATAAAGTGGCTTTGCAAATTTTCTTCACTGAAACAGACTTTCTGCCACATTTAGACAGTTATGATTGTTAAGACATAATAAACAAGAAAAGTATAATTTTCCAACATCATGATTAGCAAATTCCTCTGCAAATAAATGAAGTTATATGGTCATCCAAAGGAGAAAAGTTAGATGGCCCTGCCTCCATTGTATTAATGTGAAGAGAGACAGTAAGAACTATAAGAAACTATGGTGAAATGTTAAAACTATAGGCGATATAACTTTCTCAGCCTTCTACCAATAATATCTTTAAATAAATCTCCTTAAATGTAAAATAGTTCAGTTTTATATTTGTTCCACAATGACAGTTTGTTATTTTTTAATCCAGTATATATTAACTGCAATTATGTACAAAGAAATAATGAGAAATCCTGAAAAGAAACTATTCATCCCAAGTAAGTGTTTAAAAGTTGAAAGGCCTATGGAAAACAAGAAACACTGGCTATATGCCAATTTTTATTTCTAAGAGAAAGTCTTATATAAATAAGTCATTTTCTTTGTTTTACAAAACAAAAGCAGAAAAATCCTAAAAATAATACCACAAATCCAAATTAGCTGAACTTGGAATAGCAGAGTCAAAGTCAGTCTTCTCATGTGCATGTCAATGTGATAAATCAAATTGTGTTGGAAAAAAACCTAAAACCTTATCTGCTTCTGGCTCCCACACAGAACTGATGATTACTTTTAGCACTTTTATAGAGACAACTGTGACACTGCTCTTTTTTAAAGAAAGATGTATACTAGAAATCCAACAGAATGTGCTACTTGTGATATTCCACAAAAGCTGTAAGGCAGCCAAGGGTTGATTACATTTAAGGGCAGTAAAGCTTGCACTCTCAATGCCTGCTGATGGGCTTTGTGTCAATATTTTAAAAATATACTTTTCATCTACTAAAGACGAAGTGATAAGAAAATAGTATTATTACATTATATCCCAGCACAGCGCTACTATTTTTGTATAAAGGAATCGCTAGTTAAAGAGTTATTTATCTTTTTAAATGAAGTCCTGTCTAGGCATTAGACTGTTGACAGTGCCGAATTTCAACTCTCAAGACAAACAAGAGCTTATGTGTCAAGATTAATTCTCTTTGGCCGCAATGGATACCGTTTTCTCTGGGGGCAATCTTCAGTTCGCCTTCTTTTCAGGACCACGTCAGTGGCTTTTCTGGTTGAAGTCTCTGTTGGTGTGGTTTCTATCTGTGTTATAAAGCTCTCAGGCTTAATATCTGGTTTCTTATAACAGCCGGAAAAGACTTCTTGGTGGACTCTCTGGAGCTGGATAATAGGCTGCATCTTTAAAACTTGGGAAAATCCATCTCCTTGTTCAATTAATTTAGGTAAGGACTTAAACAAACAACAGTAATAACATTAATCTCAGGCTGGAACACAAACACACAGAGATAGAGACAACACTCTAGATTTTAATTTTTCAGGTCAAAGCTTTTCCTAAGATGTAATTATTTGGGTCATGGATATTCAGCTTTATCTTAAAATACTATTAGCTGAAGATTTTAACAAAAAATTAAAACTAAAAATATACATTCTATTCCTACAATGCCTGATAGTAAAATAAAACTTTGACCGCAGGAAGAAACAGAATTTCAGAGCCAAGGATTTAATGTCTGAAAATTCCATATTTTAGGATAGTAAGTATTTTAGAAATCTTGATCATCAAGAGCAAGAATCAGTACATTTTTCCTGTAAAGGGCCTTACATCTCTATCACAATCACTCAACTCTGCCACTATAATGCAAAGAAGCCACAGATAATAAGTAAATGAATGGCAATAACTGTGTTCCAGTGAAGTGTTATTTACAAAGACTAAGTAGCAAGCTGGGTTTTTGCTTGCCCACCACAGTTTGCCAACTCTTGATAAAGAACATGCTATGAGTACCAGAAGAAAATCATGGAATCAATACAAACCACAGAAGAATGTTATAGGGCAGCCCAGGTGGCTCAGCGGTTTAGCGCTGCCTTCAGCCCAGGGCCTGATCCTGGAGACCCGGGATTGAGTCCCACATCGGGCTCCCTGCATGGGGCCTGCTTCTCCCTCTGCCTCTGTCTCTACCTCTCTCTCTCCTCTCTGTTTCTCATGAATAAATAAATAAAATCTTAAAAAAAAAAAAGAATGTTACAGAAAATTATCAGAACTTGGAAGACTCAGAGGAATTTTAAAATAATTTCCATACACTAGAAATCCAAATGTTTTCCTATGTGCATAAAATGACTGTCAAGAATATAAACAATTTTATTATAATAATATTAGGACTCCAAGTTGGATATGCAGCATAATATAGCAGTTAAGAACATAGGCTCCAGGGGAGCCTGGGTGGCTCAGTCAGTTGGAAATCTGCCTTGGGCTCAGGTTATGATCCCGTATTGGGCTCCCTGCTCAGCAAGGAGTATGCTTCTCCCTTGCCCTCTGCCCCCCCCATTTCTCTCATGTGCGTGCTCTCTCTCTCTCTCTCTAATAAACAAATAAAATGTTTAAGAAAAAAAAAAAAGGGTCTGGGGCCAAACATCCAAGGTTTAAGTCCTGACTTATTTGGGCAATCTATAGCCTCTCTGTGCCTCTCAGTTTCTCAACTATAAAATAGGGAAATTAGCAGTATCTATCTCATAGGATTATTGCAAGCATTAAATAAGGTAATATATGTAAAGCAGTTAGATAATACATGACCCATAAATGCTCACTAAATGTTAGGTGGTATTATTATCCAGAATTTTTTGATAGACTGCTACCTCTCAGAATTCAAAAGTATAATCAATCGTCAAAGAAGCCAGATATAAAACTGGCACATACTGGTGCCTACTAAATGTTATTCTCAATGTTATTGTCACTTTAATAAATTCATTAAAGATCTACTTAAAAGACTACTGAGAATTCCTGTTACAATAGACTAAAATACATATGGATATTGAAAGCAAATACTTAGCTACATTTTGTTCATTTTATAACTTTTTAGCAGAAGCTTTTACCTTCATGGCTTCACTGATCTCCTTAGCTATTGTTTCTCCTCTGTATTTCAAAGTTTCCACACGAGAGGCTGCAAAGAAACCGCCAAATAGTATTTTAAGTTTTTATCTAATACCAAGTCATAAAAGACACAGACATTATTTTGACAAAAATCTGTTAGGACTATCCATTTTAGCTCAATCTTTCTCAGAATACTTTGTAATCTATTAAAATAAGTATCCTACTAAATTTATTTAAATAAAAAGACTGTGAAAATGTTAGAACAGTAGAGTTAAACTAACAGTTTATAAGATGATAGGCAACAAGAATTATATAAGGAGTAGTCTTAGCATCGTGTGCCACTAAAAGCATAATGTTTGTTCTATACATGATCTACCACTATGTTTAACATCTTTAAGTTAAAATAAATATAGGGGGATCCCTGGGTGGCTCAGCGGTTTAGTGCCGCCTTCAGCCCAGAGCGTGATCCTGGGGTCCCAGGATTGGGTCCCGCATCGGGCTCCCGGCATGGGAGCCTGTGTCTGTGTCTCTGCCTCTCTCTCTCTCTCTGTCTCTCATAAATAAATAAATGAATGAATGAATGAATGAATGTTAGTATTTGATTTTTGTATTATTCTGAATCTTACAGAAGTAAAACAAATTTGAATTTGGAATATATAATCACACTGCATCTAGGATACCTAGATGGGATTTCTGGGGGAAAAAATCTGGATTAGACTGTCAGTAATATTAATTTTTCTTTCCTTTCTTCCTTGATGCTTTTCTGACTCCTAATACATTTTATTTCCTTCCAATCTTTGTTATAAATGTTCACAGCTACTTCACAACAGAACTGTATATTCAATGATATAAAGAGATAAAAATCCTACTAAAACTCCAAGGAAAACTGGGTAAGAAAAGTCATTCCATTTTGGAATCATCTACAAATTAGTTTTTAGAAGAGTAGTTCTCACTAGAAATTACTTCAAGTCTAAGGAAATACATAACTATATTAGGAGAGCTACCTTACCGGCTTCAAGAAAGTGGCAAATAAGCCAAACAAAAAATTTCTTTCATTAACTGCTATTTTTCTTTTCTAACTTTCCCTAGGTCAAAAAAGTGAGAACACATTTAGAAAAAAGGGAAATGGATAGCAAAAGTAACTGCGAGAAAAAAGGTACACAAGAAAGAAAAAAGTAGGGATCCCTGGGTGGCGGAGCGGTTTGGCGCCTGCCTTTGGCCCAGGGCGCGATCCTGGAGACCCGGGATCGAATCCCACGTCGGGCTCCCGGTGCATGGAGCCTGCTTCTCCCTCTGCCTGTGTCTCTGCCTCTCTCTCTCTCTCTCTCTGTGACTATCATAAAGAAATAAAAAATAAAAAAAAAAAAAAAGAAAGAAAAAAGTAAAGGCAACAGGATATGGCCTCAGAAAAAAGGTTCTTAACCATTTTTGCTACCAGATTTCTTTGGCAATTTGATGAAGCCTACAGACACCTTCTAAGAATAGTTCTACATGTACTAGTTTTTAGATTGAGGTATAATTTACATACAGTGAAATGCAGACCTCAAGTTTAACATTCAGTCACCCGTGATAATATACACACTATGCATGGGACACTTCCATCACTCTAGAAAGTTCTCTGATATCCTTTTCCCAATCAACTTTCTCTAGAAGAAGCAACCACTCATCTGATTTCTATCGTTAGGACACTGCTTTTGCTTACTCTAGAATTTCAGAATATTTTAAAATAAAATTTAAAAATACAATGATTACAAAGTTATAGATGGGTAAACACATGTGCTTTATTAATGGTTTAAATAACGAGATCAAGTGGCAGGTTTAATAATTACAATATGAAAATAACGAGCATAAATAATATTGTGAAGTACATGCAAAAACTAATATTGAAAATATCTATGGCAGGACGCTTGGGTGGCTCAGTGGTTTGGCGACTGCCTTTGGCCCAGGGTGTGCCTGGAGTCCCAGGATCGAGTCCCGCATCAAGCTCCCTGCATGGAGCCTGCTTCTCCCTCTGCTTATGTCTCTGCCTCTCTGTGTGTCCCTCATGAATAAATAAATAAAATCTTAAAAAAAGAAAATATCTATGGCTTTTAATAGCAAGAGTTACAAATACTACTAATGCTACCACTATGACCTACATTCAATATTGAAGGAAATGTTTCAGTGTGAGGTTAGTAAAAATAATATAAGTTTTTCTATCCAAATTCATAATCCTTTATTCTAAGGACCCTTGCCTTAGAATAATATGCTAATTTCAATTATTTTTAAGATTTAGGGAGATCTCCCCAAAGTACTTAGGCAATTATTTTTTTTTTTTTGATTTATGATAGTCACAGAGAGAGAGAGAGAGAGAGAGAGAGGCAGAGACATAGGCAGAGGAAGAAGCAGGCTCCATGCACCAGGAGCCTGATGTGGGATTCGATCCCAGGTCTCCAGGATCGCGCCCTGGGCCAAAGGCAGGCGCCAAACCGCTGCGCCACCCAGGGATCCCTACTTAGGCAATTATTAAATTTCCTTCTGAATATTGGCAAATACGTAAGTGATCCATCTCTTGGTATTCTTGTGGCAATCTGGCTCCTGGCCAGGCCCACACTTATGCTCTCTCCCTCAAATTTACACACATGTGTGGGAGTTGCCCATTCTTCCAACATTTATTATGTATTTTCTGTCGATTAGGCCCAGCACTAGGGGCTCAGTAAGAAAAAATGGTCTCGGCCCCCAAAGAACTTTCAGCTTAGAAGAGAGAGACACATAGAAAAAACAGAAACAAACCAGTACTTGTTGAAAAATCAGCTCAAACTTTTTCTGTGCAGCCTCATGTTTCCATGATCCCTGCCATGAATTCTACCCTCTGCCTGAACTGAGCATTCCTCTGCTACAGACTGCCACTGAGTCCTGAACAATTCTGGAAGAACACCTGGAAGATTCATTGCAATGAATCAACCCTCAACCCTATCAGACCCAACTTCCCCCTTTAGAACATATTTTGTAAAGTTCCCCTTATTATTCTAAAAAAAAAAAAACCTCATAGATATTTCTGTACATATAAATAAAAATACAAAGGAAAAAACATAATAAAATACTATTTAATGTTTAATATGCTCATATCCAACTATATCAGAAGACACAATGAAGTACTCAAATAACTGCACCTATATCCTGAGTATATATGAATTTAAGAAAATTTATATTAGAAGTCATTCCACATAGAAAACAAAAGATCAGATAAACAGAAATAGAAAAATTAGTATTTTATGAGAACAGGCTATATTATTTGAATATGATAAGAAGGAAATAATGAAGTATAGATAATCTACTGAGTGAGTCAAAGTATAGGCTGTTGAAATGGTGAAAATTAGAAAGTGCAGTATTTTTACAAATAAGATGGTCTTACTAAAAATGTCACATCAAAATAATTCCCTACATTATAATATGGGAAGGTGTATGACTAAATTCTACTCTGAAATTCCACCATAATGCAGACTACATTTAATACATAGATTCACTTAAAAAGAGTTCAGCAATAATACTATCAAAAGGCAATAAGGAACACAGGATAGACTAGACCAAACAAAACAAGAATATGACAAACTACAGAGAAGATATGTGGTTGATCTCTATGGATAGATTTTTAATAAGAATAAACACAAGTGACCCAAAAATATAATCAGAATTTTAAAGCTTTTTTAATATTAAAATCTTAATATTCACTTAATTTATCATTATATAAAAATAAAATTTTTTAGTATTTACTGTGGCAATAATAGGAAGTATTTTATTTTTTATTTTTTTTAAAGATTTTATTTATTTATTTATGACAGAGAGAGAGAGAGAGAGAGAGAGAGAGAGGCAGGCAGTGACACAGAGGGAAAAGCAGGCTCCATGCAGGGAGCCCAACGTGGGACCTGATCCTGGGTCTCCAGGATCACACCCTGGGCTGAAGGCGGTGCTAAACCGCTAAGCCACCAGGGCTGCCCAAAAGGAAGTATTTTAAAAACACTTCTTGGTGCCTGGATGGCTCAGTTGGTTTTTAGCTCAGGTCATGATCCTGTTTTGAGATTGAGGCTCACATTGGGCTCCACACTGGGCATGAAGCCTGCTTAAAATTCTCTTTCCCTCTCCCTTTGCTCCCTATCCCTGCTTGCATCCCCATGTGCACGCTCTCTGAAAAAAAGGAAAAAAAAATCATTTCTATTAATTTAAAAAAAATGAAATTCCTACATTTTGTTTCCATTAACTTAGTAATATTTGGTTCTAGTCCTTTTTAAAAGGACTCTCAAATCTTCTGTAACATATTTCCTACTAGCTTTGTTGCTTTAATAATAACCACATACTGTACCAAAATCCTTTTCAGTTAAAAATGCTGTTGGAAAAAAAAAAATGATGTTGGAAATGCTAAGTAATTCACGGTCCTTTGAAAATAAGGAGTATGAAAGTTGTAACTGAACCGAAGACATTTCATAAACTGATAAAATGTAGCTCTGGTTACAAAGATTTGTTTCTTTTTAGTTTTATTTACCTTTCCTGAACATGTTGACTAACAGAGAAAGAATATTTGAAGAGATGGGGCAGGGCGGGGCGCCTATGAGAATCTGCTTTCTGCTCAGGTTCTGATCCCAGGGTCTTGGGATCAAGTCCCATATCAAGCTCCATGCAGGGAGCCTGCTTCTCCCTCTGCCTATGTCTCTGCCTCTCTCTCTGTGTGTCTCCTGAATAAATAAAATCTTAAAAAAAAAAAGGACAAGAATATTTGAAGAGATATGATAATGTATGTGAGAACAGTAGTTACCTCTGATGGCTGGGGAGTACTAACCAGAAAGAAAGGTAAGGAAACTGCTTTGGGTAGTTTGGGAAATATTACACAGTACAGACTGTCCATGAGGTCAGGAAGCAGGATAAGTATGTGTTAGTTACATTTTCAGATAATATGCCTAATACCTTTTTCTTTAAACTCAATGACCTTTTCAGGTAAAATACTTCTAAATTTAAGACAATGGGTCCAATTGTTAACACATAATAAATACACTACTTTCCTTGTTTCTAGACTTCTTGGATACTTCCAATTGTACT